AAAGCTGAGGAAAGGTGAAGTTTTGGGAACAGATACAGAAGGCTTAGATTTAAGAAAACTTAAATCTTTCTAGACCACTTCCACTATCAACAGTTTAGGACTATAATAGTCACCAGAGAATATTTTACAGAGAATAAATATTTTTAAGACAGAACAATAGTTCACAGCATCAAGGTACCTGTAATATATTACCTTGAAATAAAACTTGTTTTTAAAAGATTAAAAAGAGAAGATTACTCTTGTAGTGGTATTCTTTTAATTCATACAAATAATAAGCAGAGTATATCTGTTTTTTCAAATATTCACATTATTGCTTGCTACCACAACTGTACAAGGAACATATTCTTAACTTACATTAATGTTCATGTACAGTAATTTTAGATATCTAAAGCAAATTTTAAAATATGACTGAGTTGCAATTAAAAAAAAACACAAAACAATGTGAAAAGATATGTACAACTAAGATATAAGTAGAGGAAATGGAATACAACTGTCCTGACCCAAGCATACATCATACATCCATTTAAAAGTATTGAACTTGTGCAGAAAATACGCTTTGTAAACCAAAATGAACAGAAGCAAGGGTGAAATAAATAATTATCTAACACATTTAAACTAACGCCGTTGCCCAGCATACCCAGCTTTGATTCTCTTTAATACACAGCATCTGCATTTGCACCTGGAACTGTTCAAGATTATTTTTTTTTCAGCATTTTTTTCTGCTTGTGTGGCTTTAAAACAAACAAACAAACCCCTGAAAGGTCCTCTTGGACTATTAAGTTTTAGTAAAACAAGTCCTTCCGCACCCATGTATAGGGTCTGGTAAACAGTAGGAATAAAGCTGATATATGGCATTAGCCTGAATTAAAACAGCTACATTATAAACTGCAATACTAAGATACATTTGTGATCTTGAGTTCTACTAACCGGATGCATGCAATTCTCTCAGTGATTCTTCTAGTCTGAGTAAAATAATTCTATTTTGGTGCTTTTTTCTTTAACCTCTAAATTAGAACTTTTTCAGAACCAGCTGACAGAACTTCTTCCTGAAAAGCGCAGATTTCTACTAATGCAATGACATTTGGTTTCTGAAAAGCACAGTTTCAAAATGAACTTTATGTCCCTCTTTTGCTGGAAGAGGCTAGCCAATATCCTAAAAAGAAATAAAAATATTTACAATTGACTAGCCAATGACAAAAGTTTAGGAAGATCTTAGAAGGTACTCCAGCATGTAAATGAACAATTAAAAGGACTTACACAACAGACAGTCAGTTGTGTCATTGTGAGATTAAAAAAAATACCTGCTCACTTGTATACCATTTTCAGCTGTGTATTTATAGTAATATATATATGTACACACGCACACACATACAAAAGTCTCTGAAAATTAAGATACATTAATAAACAGAAGTAGTAAAAGTAACAATAACTTAAGCAGTAAGTAACATTTCTGTGAAATGACTGTGCAGAGTTTGACCAAATGCACTTAGAACATGCTCTTATTTAACAAAAAACAACAAAAAACCCCAACAGAACAAAAACCCAAACCAAACAAACAAAAAAAACAAAACAAAAAAGAATGAAAACACCACAAAATTCTGTAGAACCAATTCTATGTCACCACCAGGAGAGCACCAAGCAAGGCACCATTGGAAAGACAACATACTTGAATAAGTCTCTATAAATAAATCTAATGCTAATCTGGTCGAAAAATCGGCGTCTTTGGTAAAAATTCTATAAGGATGACCTGTATAAAAAGAAAACAAATATACATTAAACGGAAGATGGCAACAAACCTATTATCTATCACAATGATAATTCACATGCATCTTTTTTGTTTTTTAAGCACATAAATGCTTTTATGACAATCAAAGATGACAGTGCTTTTCTTACTCAGGAGATCATTAAAGAGTTATGATGATTGATATAATTGTTTTGGGATAGAAAACAAATACTCTTTAAGAGTCAAATGCAATTGGAAATGTTTGCCTACCAATGCCTAACACATTCAAACAAACTGAAACAATCTACTACATAATTATTCTTTAATATAATTAATTTACTCCATTAGGAAAATATTACAAAAGAGATAAATGTATTCATAAAAAAAAAAAGATAACGCAATGCATGCTAAATAATTTCTTTCACTTAAAAGTTGTCTCCACTTAATATAGCATTCTAAAGCATATTTAGCGATCAAAACTGGTATAGAAATACGTATCAACCCTTGCAAAGTTCCCACACTTAACAAATCTCCAAGTAGTTAGCAAGACACTTGACTAATGCTTTTGCCTGATTATTCTTATGGTGCAATTCAAATTTAAACTATGTGTTTCTGAGCTATGTACGCACGGTAGGGTACACTCTAGAATACAGTCCAAGTATTTATCCTACTTTAAATAGAGAGCTTAAAGTAAATGTTTACTTGTGCATTTTTTCTCTTCAGAAGGACATCAAAATACATCAGCATGATTGCATCAACAAACAAATAAATGTACCTGGTAATATAACTTCAGCTTTTATTTACTTGTAAGGGGATGTTACTTTTCTAAAAAATTAAAAAACAATTTCGAACTGGTTTTGATTGTAAAGGAGAAAATAACTTGTCTATTTAGAACTCTGATAGCTTATTGAACATCAGAAAAGAATGAAGTCTGATTTTTTTCTGAGGCAAACACTTTTGAAATAATGAATATAAAAATTAGGTGTATAAGTTTATTTAAAAGATATTTAGAAGTTACTTATTTTCAGAAGTGATGCAAACTGCTCAAAATCCATTGCAGTCAATCACTGGATTCTTCACAGAATACCAGGGTTTCTGATATTACAGCAAGGTTTCAAACGGGAGGAAGAAGTAAAGCTTGAACACTGTGTTTATGCCATGAAGTAAGACTACCTTGTCTTTATTTTGTTTCAGCATCTACAACAGTGGATTTAGAACTTCAAGTTGGCAAAGCACCAAGTTTTGGGTTCAAGACTCTTTTCAAAACAGGTGATTTAAATTACACTGAGGATAAGTGTTTATTATTTGAAATTAAATCATAAACACGACATGAAGGGTAGTTTTTAAAGAGACTCACAAATTAGTTCACTGAAAATGAGAGAAAGGTACAGAGAAGTTTTGTAAAAATCTTCTCGTTAAATATATCCAGAGATAATATCTTAGATGTTTCAAAAATTGAAAAGAAATTATTCCAACTGCATCCTGCAAAACTATATGCTCATGCTTACATATTATTAACGTTAACAGGCCAACTGATTTTAAATTGCATTTAATAGAATGTGTTTTCATCTGTAATGATGTTGGGCCCTAGTATTTACTAATTAGCATTGCATGTTGTTTCTTCAATTGAATCTGCAAAACATTGGACACGATAAAGTTTTCCAGTACAAAACCAAAAATTTTCAGTGAAATGAAGAAATATTCATTTAGGCAAAGCAACTTTGCAATGTGCTTGATTCAAATTTTCATTCACATCTCACACAACTAAACAAAAAAAAAATATTGTAGAACAGGAGTTTAAAGAAGTCTACTTATTCAGTGAACTGAATAGGCCCATTCTGTAAAAACTGCATTTCAAAGATCTTGTATTTCAGGGCTAGAAATAAGATCCAATGTAGAAACAGGAAAAAGGAGAAGATTCAATTAAGAGAGTCTTTAATATAATTTTCAAATATTTAATAACTTTTAAATTTTTATATGCATGATAGCTTTGTTGTTTCAAAGAGCAAAGTACCATATAATGAAAAAATAACAGACAAGTTAGAACTAATACAGCAGATATTTCTGAAAGGTTAATCTTCTTTTTTAAAAAATTAACTCTTCCTATTGCTTGTTTTCTGGAGCACTGAAATAAATTATGCAAATACTCATAGTAGCAGCTATTCTATGCATCTTCAAGATACTTGGAAATGGAAATACAAACAGCACCAAAAAGAGCAAGAAGGTTGCAAGCTAAACAAACTGAAATCCCACATTGGACATAACTCGTTTTAAACCCCCTATAAGTTCTTCGCTGTCTATTTCAAAGAAGGGCTTATGGAGTCTCAGCCAAAGACTGAATTAAGTTAAAACTCCAGAGACTGACATAAAAATATTTTAGTGGCACCAACTGGAGATAAAGATACTTTCAAGACAGTTGAGGTAAGGGGCAGTTAAAATCTGAAAAGGCTAAAGGTTTCTTAAGCTCCAACAGCTTAGTTGAAAGGTCCTCTTCCATACTTTTAGACTTGATTAGCATTATATACAACAGCCATATCTGACTTGCTGCGTAACCAAAGTTGTGGTTATTCTTTATACAGCATCCAAAATTTCACACTCCATCAGCACATGTTCAAGCTATTTTATCTTGGCAATTAATTTATTATTTTTCAGAACACAGTGAAGCCTTGTTTTCAAGTCATTCATAACTTTATAAATCAGTCCTGCACATGAAACCATGCATCTGTGAACCGTAGAAAATCCTTGCACTCAGGCGATTAAGCTCCTGACACCTTTACTGATTAATAATCATGAAAAGAATAAGATCAGAAGCAAAATAAATGATCATTTAATAGAGAAACTCACAAAACAGCCCTTTAACTTACATATTCCATCATGTTATTCGTTTCACATTTCCTTTTGCTTAGTCTCCAATGCAAGCACAGCTAGACAAGGAGGAAAGAAAAAGAAGAAAAATGAGCTGTATTTTATTGCAGCACACAGACTAGCCCATTTGTCCACCTTTCATATTTTTCGTTCAACAAAAGCATCTGTTTCCATACTGTGCAATTCAAACTCCAACAGTACGAAGCTGCTCCCTGCGGCACTCACCTTGTGGTATAACCTATTGTTTTCCCATTCTAATAACTTCTCAATCGATCTTCGTGTCTGGAAGACAAATGAGAAAGAATTTTACTCTTGACTGGTTTTGGAAAAACTTTCTTTTGCAGCTGCTTTTGCGTGAAAAGGAGAGAGGTACAGGACAGTGACTGAGCACAGGGTGGTCTTTAGAACTATCAAAACTTCTCTGGTATTAAACAGTAACTAGAACAGAAACAACTTTTTTTGACACCCAAGTAACTTTCTTCAACAATTTTGGTACAAATACCTTTTCCTATATAACTACTATAAGAAGCAGAAAGCATCTTACTTTAACACCACAGAAATTCTGAAGTGATCTAAGTATAAAAGCAGGAACACTGCTCCCCCAGTATCAGTGGTCTTAATGCACTGCTTTTAAGAGGGTCTGCATCTAAACTGACAAAGGTTGCAAACTATTTTGCAGTGCTCTAGGTCAAGTACAAATACACAATACTCTCAACAAAAGAGAAATGTTTGTTACTATTATATCCTGATTTTAGAGACTAAAAACAAATGTAGAAAGTTACAGTAAACTGCAAAAATTAATATCCTATTATTTGTATAAAGAACAAACCCAGTATTTAGGATTCTAAAGCAAAGTTTTATTGCCTATGTTGTCCACACTTGACACTTCAGATAGAAAATCCTGAAAGCAGTTCTGCATAGCTTTTTAATATTATGTATGCTAGTATTAAAGGACATTCTGTGCTGTAAAGCCTCACAGAATTTTGAATATAATTATTCAGCTATATTTACATTTGAGAAATACATTCTGACATTTATGGTCATTTGACTGCCAGAATATATACTGCTTAGCTCTAAATGGGATTTGCTACTGAGTATGAATAAAGAGGATAATTCATGGTGCCAGGTGTTAAGATGAGACCAACAGAGCTGCAGGTGCAAAAGGACAGAGCAATGACAAGGATCAAATACAACTTAGTGCAGCTGCAGCTTCCTTACAAGGCAGAGAGGGGTGAGGGGAAGGGATGAGAAAGCATCTTGCTGTTATTACTACAAAATACAAGTACTGTAAATGAACCTTAACAAATTGAACTAAATGCTGTCACAAGAAACAAGAACGTCCAAGTAAAATAAAAGTTAGACAACAAATTATTCATTGTCCATCAAATATTAACACCTCGGTTTTCAAACATCAATTTCTCTCTAGTTTAATACCAAAACACAACTAAGCATTTACTGTGGTCACATGATTAAAAATTAGATCACTGCTATGAGTAATCACTACACTGATTTTTTGTTATATTTTTAAAAGCACAACTCACAAGATTTACAAGAAGGTGGATGTCCCAGAGACTAATTTATCACATCAATTGGGAATTGAGTATTTTTGGGGTTATTGTTATTATTATGTTTTTAAAGACAGTGCCCTATAACAATAATCAGTAGACCTCACTTGTTTCTTTGTAAAGATAGCCTTTTAGAGTCTGCTCTCCTTTTAAATGAAAATAGGGCAGCAGTTATGGTCACACTTTTGTTAATTTAGTTGCCAGTCAGCTCCAAATCAAAAGAAAATAAGGCTGCAGAGTGTAATTAACATTCAGTTCAGTCGTTTTGTCCCTTGTCTAGCCCCCAAGCTTTGTTAAAATTGCCATCTGAATGCTGAAGGCTGTAGG